TTTTGTTGTTTGTATCACCTAAAATTAATCGAGTTAGATATAGGGTTATATATCAGGATGAAGAGACGAGTTGAAATCCGTCCGTCTGTGCAAGCTGTAACATGAGTAAAAATTGAGATATCTTTATGAAACTTGGTACACATATTTCTTGGTACCGTAAGACGGTTGGTATTGCAGATGGGCGTAATCGGACTATTTCCACGCCCCCAAAACGCCATTAATCAAGAACAAATAAATTGCCATAACTAAGCTTTACAATAAGATACAATACTGTTATTTGGTACACAGGATCATATTGGAGAGGGGCATCTGCAGTTTAAATTTTTTTTTTAAAAGTGGGCGTGGTCCAAACCGCTAACGCTATAAAAACACAATTCACTGAGAACAAATGTTGTTAGCATCTCTATCCATGGTATGAAAATGGAAAAAAACGGGTAGCAACTCCGCCCACTCCCCATATAACGGTACTGTTAAAAACTACTAAAAGCGCGATAAATCAACACTAAACAAGCCAGAGACATTAAATTTTATTTCTGGGATTATATAAGATGATTTTATAGGAACCACGTTCAAAATCAGATAGTGGGCTTGGCACCGTCTACTTTTAGATGAGAACCCATATCTTGGGATCTGTTTTACCGATTTTAACCAAATTCGGTACATAATATTCTTTACATATATCTATATTATAGTACGAAAATGGGCGAAATCGAATTGCAACCACGCCTATTTCCCATATAACATCATTTTAAATTCCATCTGATTTTTTCACTTTCCAGTATGCAAAGGAAGCAACAATGATTATATCGGCGTAAAACTTTGCGTGAATAATGCGTTTAAAGTATGCCACCTTGTGACCAAAAATTATCTAAATTGAACCAAAACTCTTCAAGCCCCTAGGTACTGAATATGTTGACCCCAGTGCCTATAGTTGACTTTTTACTGAAAATATCGGTCAACATAGGACAAGGCGGCAAGATTCACAAAGAAACCTAAAGTGAGTACACCATTTGACTTTGCGAGAGTATAAAATGTTCGGTTACATCCGAACTTAGCCCTTCCTTACTTGTCTTGATTAAATTCTTTAAATATTGGGAATCTACAAAGTGTCTTAACTTGCGTCTCTCTTCCCATTGCTGCACTCGTACATTTACTTCTTTTTGCCATTTCGGGTTACAAATATTTTCATTGATTAGACTGAGCTCTGCTCCAGTGTCAATGGTGAAATATGACTTTCTTATGTGTGCGTTTATTATTATATAGGGTAATTGTTTTGTAGGTCCAATAACTTTCATTGCCAATATCCATAGGTTGTGGTTTATTGCGATTTGATATTGCGGATTGAATATAATTTCCTGATTGGTTATAATTTCGTGTTTGAGTTCCGTCACTTTCATGGTTAAGGTTTCTCTTTGATTATCTCGGTTGATTATAATTTGAGTTTGTTGTCTGGTATGACATTCTAGTTTGGTTTGATCTGTTGTCATTTTTGTTATAGTTATTACCCGCATTCGTTGGGACGTAGCCACTGTTATACTTGTACTTATTTTGTGGCGTATAATTGTTATTGTATGTCTATCTAACTGTGTTATAATTGGAAATATTATTCATATATTGGTTGGTTCTGGATCATCATATCCACAGCGTAGCATGTTATTGTTATATCTATTATAACTGTTGTTATAATTGGGAATATTATTCAAATATTGGTTGGGTCTGGAACATGTTCTATTGTTAGCATTATCGCTAAAATTTGTCCTACTACAGGTATTTGGGTTAGGATTTTTCCTTTGTTGCCCAAATGCTGTGAAGGATTGATGTCTGGCTTCTAAAATTATTTTACATGCTCAGTCACCGACTATCCCTCGTGCCGAGCAGACGTGTTTTTTTCCTTTTCGTTGTCTTTTTTTCCGCCTGAGCGAAAGTACGGTTTCTATTTGTGTTATAGTTACTTTACATTGTGTTTGCTCTTTGAACTGAGCTATTCAGTACTTTCTACTACAACACAAAATATATATAGTAATTACAAACTTATAATTTGGGACATAAGAAACAATGGCCCCCCGGGCCCCCCAGTCTTGGAGATAAGAGATTCACCTTGCTGGCGTCTGATCCCCAACCAAAACGGAAAAAAAATTGAGCTTTCCCTAATATTCCAGAAATAGAAGTGAAAAATCCTAAATACGTTGTAATATCGTCCGTTTATATAAATAAACCATTAAATAAGTATAATTGCTTTGCAATTCATTCCGAATTAAAATTAGTATGCAAAGGAATCATGAAAATGACACAACTACGCGACGGAAGTCTTTGCCTATTACTAAAAGACAAATCAACCGCCGAAAAGTTCATTCGTACTAAATTTTTACACGGTGTCTGTGAAGTGAATACAAAATACCATGAAAAACTCAATTATATTAAAGCACAATATATGCCCCATACCTAATCGACCTAAATGAAGAAGAAATCAATAAAAACTTATCTGACCAAGGAGTAGTCGAAGTGTACAAATTTTCCAAAAACATAGATGGAAAACCAAAACATACCGGAGTCTCAACCACATAGATGTCACATATTTTTCAAACCCTATGCGATGCAAAAACTGCGGGAAATTAAATCACACTACAAAACTCCCATGAGTGCACCCATTTTTTGACATATCTTGTCCCAAATTTTTGCAATCTAAAGAGATCTTAAAATTGCAAGTACAAAACAAATGTACAATGAGAGAAGCGATAAACATATATAAAAATCAATGTCCATCTATTGTTGGTGGTCCTTCTTTCTCATCTATTATCAAAAGCCCAATAATAAATAACAACCAAAAACATATTCCAAAGCAAACAACATAAAACCAGTTGGAGCATACTTCTGATCAACCACAAAATCTAACATCGAACATCATCTCCTTTCCACAAATCCCAAACAGTGATAACGAACTATTCAAATATTTATCACAACGAATAATCGATTACCAAAACCTTCTACCTGCGCAAGAAAACAATGAACAATCCCAAAACAACAATCCAACCGAAAACAATAATATTTCTTATAGCTTTGCCTACAATAACAACCTGCAACATATCAGCATCGAAAAATCTTAAAATTCTAACCCAAACGATTCACACAATTCTTCTTTCACCAGTCCTTTCTCTCACTCCAACAACAAAACTTCATTATCAATAGAAAACCCAGTCCCACAATACTAATCATATATATACACACATATAATAACATAATACTCCTAAAATTCTTTTAACATCTTAATATACAATATTTCAATAATTTTTACGAATTGCAGCTACTAATTAGAGACCTGTAGCCTTCAGTGTTATGTTTACAAGAAACACATATACGCCACAATTTCGACCCAAACCTCTATATGGCTATAATGTTTATTTCCTTAATAGCCCTCAATACCAATTCAGCAAACAAGGTGTTGGAATTTTGGTAAAAGAAAACATACCTCGCAAAATTGTTTTTACCAATAACACCTTACTCAGTATTGCGATTGAGATATTATTTAATCCAAAACTAACAATAATCAATATATACATCCGTCCCAAACAAAGTTTCTCTTGCTCAGATATCTTAAATATTTTAAATAAAACGCAAAATCCTATACTTTGGATTTACGATTTCAACTCATGGATACCGATCTGGGGTTCTCCTCTATCAATCAACAGAGGTACAAAGATTGAAGACGTCTTATTAAGCAGCAACCTCATAGTTTTAAACGATGGTAGTCCCACACACTTCTCCACCCATCAATCGTTCACTCATGTAGATGTCACGACATGTTCCTCCAATATCTTTCCATTATGTTCTTGGAAGGTCCTTAGGGACCTCCATGGTAGTGATAATTTCCCATTGATGATAGAAATCGGACTTCACCCAGACACGTCCACAAAAAAGTTTAAACCAATTTTTCTAACAAATAAAACAACATTGGGAGAAATACAAAGATCTTTGCTCATTAATATCTAGTAAATTCATTGTTTCGTAATATTAATCAAGAGGCCGCAATTGTAAGAAAAATAATATGTTCGTAAGAACATCACACCATTCCTCAAACCAAGAATACATATCGACACCGATATAAACCATGGTGGAATAGTGAATTAGAAATCCTTCGATCGCAAAAACGCAAAAGCTGGTATAAATGAAAATATTAACTCCAAAACCTCTCCTCAACTTACTTGGCGTGCTATAAGACTCCTGTCTGGCGTGAAAAAACCTATAATAATCACTTACTTAAACACCCAAACTGGATTAACTAACGACCCAGATATCATAGCGAACGAGTTCGCCACGTTCTTCTGGAGCTCCTATTAATTCTACTTTCACAAAACAGTTCGTAGCTGAAAAACGAAAATCTTCAGGCCATAAACTTTTACTTAGCTGAAATCTTAGCAATTCGAGCACCATTCCTCCAAAATTATTTCCAACAAGGGGCACGTTACCTGCCTTAGCTTAGACTTTGAAAAAGCATATGATCGTATCGGACTTCATAAAGTTCTACAACAATTAGAAAAATGGAAATTGGGACCAAAAATATGCAACCTACTTAAAATTTTTTTAACAAATCAGAAATTTGGGGTAAAGTACACAATAATTTTGATCACTGTTTGCCCTTAGAAAATGGAGATACTCAAGGTTCCCCTCTACTTGTGGTCATATTTATAATTGTATTTAATGAAATCAGCTAGATACTATCCAATTTCCCAGTTTACTACTGTATGTATGCAGACGACATTCTGATATTTCCAAAACAACTCGATCTGAATAACGTCAAATTAATTTTTACGGAAATACTTAATAATACATATTATATATCTAACTGGTCTCTCACATCCAGCGCTTAAGTTATTCTTAGATAAATGTAATATCTTACATATGTGTCGTAAAAAAAAATGTAATAATATTAAAATTTTTGGATTAATTTTCGACTTTAAGTTTAAGTTCAAAAAACATTGTTTATATAATATATAAGAAAAAAACTTTTCGATTGGGTAAATATAATAAAGTTTTTAGCTTCACGACATTCTTTTGTTCATCCTACAATACTTATCAATATCGTGAGATCTTTACTACTCTGAATTATCGATTATGGACCACCAATCTACGGATATCCCGCCGACAGCGAGCTCAAGAAACTCTATGCGCCTTATCACATGGCAGTAAGACATAATCTTAGGGCATTTCCAACTTCCAGAACCAAAAGCATTCACGCTGAATCAGGAATGCTACACATTACCGAAAGACTGGAGATTAACACATTACGGCTGATACCAAAGGTATATCTAGGCTCTAACCTGACTTTGCTCAACGACGTACGTTCGGCCACCCGTAACAAACGAACACCTAAGTTTCCATCAACAATACACCTAATTCTAAAGTACGTTGATGAACCTGATATTCACCTTTCACCCAAACGTTCGAAGATTAGCAAACATCCTCCATGGGCTCTAGACTCTTCTGTTATAGAAGACAATTTGATGAGCTGGAACAAAGCCTCCACGAACTATGAGGTGTATAAACAATAGTTTATACAACGCAAGACAGATCTCTATTCAGAAGGATGAAAATTCATTTACATTGATGGGTCGAAAAATCCCCACAACACCGCATATGCAGTAGTTTATGAAAACTCGGAAATCATTAAAAATGGATTACTTTTATCACCATCTTCGGTTTTTACCGCAGAAACATACGCAATAGAAAATGCTATCCAATGGACCACGTCTTCTAAAGGTAAATATGTTATCTGCCACTCTTAGTCCATGTATTTACTTGAGAACTAATGAAAGCAATGACATTGTGCAAATTGTTGAAAATTTCTCATAGCATAAATTAAAAGCGGCCTGGTATACTTACGACAACCGTTACCGGCTCGTAAGTCCCAAACAAAGAAAAGCAGTATACACCTCTACATGCAGCATCCCGGAGATCAAAATATTCACACGACTCAGTTTAGGACACACCATCTTAACGCACCAACATGTTCTGGACCGCAACATAACGCCTGGCTGCCGCCTAAGCAACAGTCCAACAAATTCTGTAGAACACTTATTGAACATATGTATTACCTTTCGTAATATACAACGAGACTATGTGGAGTCTTCTCCTTCGAAACTCTTCAAAAAACCGTCAACTGCCAACATAAAAGAAATCTACAACTTTATCTCCAGAGCCCAACTAAAGCATCTCATCTAAAACTAGCATAATAAAATCTTGCCACAATTTTCCTATACTAACATATATTGCTACCCCTTGATTCTAAGCATAAGCATTGACATTAGTACAATATTTAAGTACAACTATAAATATTAATATACATACATATTCATAAGTAAAATCTCATACAAAAAAGTACTAGTAAAATTAAGCCCATAGCTGAAGGCCTTGTCGCTAGTGCTGTTATATTTTATAGGTAGTATAATTATTTATAATTGTATTTCCTTTAATAAATAAATAAATAAAACTATTTTATACGCTTTATCTAAAGTGTCGGGGTTTCTTGCTATGCTCATTGTTTTTGTAGGTTCAGGATAGTGTTCTTTAAATGTTTGTAGCGCTATCCTATTAATTTATGTAGTTGAAAATTTTAAATCATTATGTGCTAATATCCTATTGTGTAATTTATTTCTAATTTAATTGATTCTAAAATGCTAATTTTCTATCGTTGAGTCGCGATGGTTGGTTTTTAACTCATCCATAAGTTCCGCTGAACTTCTCCTTTCCCCGCTGTTGTTAAAAAGTATTTGTTTCAATGTTTCCCAATCACTAACTGGTCCATACCTGTGAATTATTTTCCTTGTTTTTCCTACGCATCTTCCTTTCAGATAATTAAATAAAATTTTTGAATTATTTTCATCAAAAGTTGTTATTGTGGGTAAAATGTCTTCAATTTGTCTAATAAAATCTGTTAATTGGTTCAGGTCTCGTCAATCGAATTTCGTGATTCCATTAATGCAATTAAAAATGAGTTGAAAATATGATTTGGTAGATGCTTCCATTTTGAAAATCTTTTTTAAATTAAAAAAAATATATATTCCTATTGTATTTATTCTGATTTAACTTTGGTTTGTGTAGAAGATTCGTATTGAGTATTTTAATTGATCGTGATCAGTTTGAGGGGTTGTCTACTGTTGTAGTGAAGGTACATATCTAACAGTTATGAAAACACTATTTTAGTCAAGATACATTATCAATTTTATCGTTACAATTTTGGAGTCACAGTTTTAGTGAAACTTATTATGTGTATGCAACGAATTTCTGTTTTACGCTATTGTGCGATATTTTTCACACATTGTTTCCGTATTTTACTACCTATGTATTTTTTTTTTTTATTTTGACTTACTTGGTTCTGTTGTTGTTGTTACTGATGCTGTTATTATTGCTATTGCTGTTGCTGCTATTGTTGCCGCTATTTTTATTGCTATTGTTGTTGCTGCTGCTATTGTTGTACCTTTGCTCATGTAGATATGTTTGTATGTGTGTATTATGAGCGCACACTTAACTTTTTGCTGCGTTTCTTTATCATTTAGTGTTTCTTTTTGACTACTTTAATGTACTTGCTTTGCGTGTTGTATTTTTTATTGTTTTTGCTGTCTGTACACTCTCAGCTGATAAGAATTATATCTAGAAGAATGTTGTTTTCCTTTTTTTGTTCTCTTTGCTATTTTATATCGTATGCTACACCTCAAGCTTTATTGCATTGTGCTTAAACGGTTTTTATACACAATTCGGCTTTTTGCGGCGTTTAAAAATTGAGAGATGCCACGTAAAATCATATCACTACTAATTTGTCTATTGTACAATGTTCGTTTATTTTTCAAAATTAAAAACACTTTTTAATTACTATTATTTTTTTGTTTACTTCACTACTTTCTTTCGTTTTTTACTTTACTCGCTAATAGTTTAATATGTTTTATTTTTTTGTTTGCGATTCGCCGTTAGTTATACGCTTTTATCCTGCACAAGATTCGTTGAAATTTATTTTTTTTAACCTCGTCGCCAGTTTTGATATCAGTTAGGATGATACTCTTGTATCGATCCTGAATGACTGATCTTGGACTAAAATAAAGGAAACAAGCTCCTTTGCTCAGATCTTCATTTAGACTGAATTTTTATTTTTCTATTTTCTTATACATACAAGGTGCGTTCCAAGTAAACAGTAAAAAAGTAACAAAGTAAACTCTAGTGTAGCCTATATGTCGACTAGTGCGTTAGAATCTGCTATCCTATATCGACTTCCAGTAAAAAATTCATGTTATTTCATCTATTGGAAGTGAAATAATTGCGTTTTAAGTGTCAGTATGGTTTTGTCATCGGTGAAAAAATGATCTTCGAACAAAGAGCCAACATTAAATTTTGTTTTAAAATTGGTAAAACTTTTACGGAAACGTTTCAATTGATGAAACAAGTTTACGGCGATGATTGCCTATCCCGTAGCAGAGTGCACGAGTGGTTTCAACGTTTTCAAAGTGGTCATGAGGACATAAATGAGAAATGAGCCAAAACCCAAAAAAGTTGCGCCTGGAGAAGTCAAAAGTGAAAATAATGCTGATTTGTTTTTATGGTTCCAAGGGTATTGTCCACAAAGAATTTGTTCCACCCGGCCAAATTTCTCATGCGGTATTGTGCCTTGGAGTTTTGAATCGTTTAGAGGGCCGTATTCGACGTGATCGGCCCGAATATCGCGAAGATGGCTTGTGGTCGATTATTTGACCAAAAATCACATTTTAACAATCAACCACTCCCCGTATTCACCTGATATGGCACCGTGTGACTTCTACCTTTTCGGAAAAACGCATTTGCCGATCAAAGGAAAGCGTTATTCAGACGTGGAAGCCATTCAAAAGGTTTGCACCGGCATACTGGCGGCCATACCGGGCAACGAGCTAAAACACTCGTTCGACATGCTTTTGGACCATGCAAAAAGCTGTATTAAAGCAGAAGGAGACTATATTGAATAAAATTTTTTGATTTTGCCGATACCTTTGGAACGCATCTTGTATGTTTATTTATCCCTAGGTATCAAATTACATGCATCTTAAAACTAATAAAACTGAACATGTGCAAGCAGGCACTTGTACATACGTGTAGTTGGTGTTGGGAGTGTATATCACTATGTGACTATATCCGAGCTCCAATCGAATTAAGTGTCGTAATGAGTATCGATCGAGTATCAGGATCACTGTTGTCGAAAAAAATGCGGGATTGCTTTTACGAAACGATGTGGCGAATAGCGTCGGTCCAATCGTCGTTGTATCCGAAACGCGTGAGAAGTTGCTTGATCTAATTAGCGCGTGCGGGGCGGTGTCATATCGAATGATGTGTAGCGTGTGAGTGTGTGTGGAGAACTAAAATATTATATTATATACCTATAATATGAAATAATGAAAATTATTTATAAAATTAGTGAATAATGGTAATTTAAAAGTATTCAGTAGTAAATTCTAACCTCTAAATTTATTTGTCTAGCTTCCCTTTTGGAAATATTATTGAAATAATTAAATCTATTGATAAATTTAACGAAGTTCTACTTCAAAAATTAGAGAAATAATAGCAGATCAAATATCCAGCGTCTAACTGCCAAGCTGCAGATATCATCAACAGCAACGTTCAACGTATACACCAGTTCGAAAGACTTCTCGCCTACTTTGTTGTAAGTAATAAACGATTGCTTACTGATGGGTAAAGAAATATTTACAAGTATATTTGATCAAATAAACAAATCAATTGTAGTATGATTCTTTTCTTTGACCACACCAGGTGGCACTGTTAATATATTCCTCTCACTGCTAACGCTCACGCGACATAACCCTACAAGAAACTCATGTACAAGTATTCTTTATTACTGTCACAACTGACAGTCAAATGAACAGTAAAATGATTGTCAATGTTTACGATTTTTTCAAAAGTAAATTTTATATACGTTGAAAAGGGACAGCACACATTTTCATAGGAGGTTCTAGAAGTTGTGAATTACATATGTAGCTGTTATTCCGTGCGATAAACCAAAAGTGTTGCGTGATCCTGTGCAATAAATATTTTTGTGTTAAAAAAACTAAATAAATAACAAAGGAGTTTTTAAATATAATATACGTAAGTTATTATTAGGTTTCAAATAAAATTATATTTTTAGTTAATTTTCATTTTTATATAGGCATTTTAAATTCCGAAATACCCATGCACTGGGAACAAATTTTTGTAGCATTTCTATCGACGGTGTGAAAATGAGTGAAATCAGGAGACAACCCCGCCCACTCCCCATATAACGGTACTGTTAAAAACTACTAAAAGCGTGATAAATCAAACACTAGACAAGCCAGAGACATTAAATTTTTTTCTCTGGGATGGTATAAGATGATTTTATAGGAACCACGTTGAAAATTAGATAGTGGGCATGGCACCGCCCACTTTTAGGTTAAAACCCATATCTTGGGATCTGCTTAACCGATTTAAACCAAATTCGGCACATAATATTTTTCTCATATTTCTATGTTATAGTACGAAAATGGGCGAAATCGGATTACAACTACGCCTATTTCCCATAAAACATAATTTTTAATTCCATCTGATTTTTTCACTTTCCAGTACGCAAATCAAGCAACAATGATTATATAGGCGTAAAACTTTGCGTGAATAATACGCTTAAAGTATGCCACCTTGTGACCAAAAGTTATTTAAATTGAACCAAAACTGTTTAAGCCCCTAGGTACTGATTATGTGGACCCCAGTGCCTATAGTTGACTTTTTACCGAAAATATCGGTCAACATAGAACAAAGCGGCAAGATCCACAAAGAAATCTAAAACGAGTATACCATTTGACTTTGCGAGAGTATAAAATGTTCGGTTACATCCGAACTTAGCTTTTCTTACTTATTATATAATTATATTTTTGTTGCACTCCTTTTTTATATTTATGTTTTTTATTATAACTGATTTTAATTAAACGATGTGAATTTATTAAAGAAATAAAAATTGTAATATATACTATGCAAAAGAGTTTTTACTTGTGATAGATATACAGTCATAACTGACAAATTACAGCTACGAGGGCTTTTCAGTCATAACTGACAATTTTCAGGTTTAATGGATTTATGATCAGCAATGACTCAGGAAAAGGCATGAGAGTGAGCTCTCTTGTGACTATAGTGCATCAGTTCTGAATATCCATGTGTTAGAGAGAGATTCAAAATCACACATATGCGTTTGTATACATCAGTTTTTGCACAAGGCTCTTAAGAAAATGATAGAAACTTTTTTTCTGCCGCTTACAAAATTTTTTCAGCTGTGATGTCATATCTTCTTGTAGGGAATGAGCGGGTGTATGAATTAGCCCCCACTGAATTAACCCCCACCGGGCAAAATTACTTAAGCCCCACCAATTTCTCAGTGAATCTTTCCCCACCAAAAATGACGGAGTCCCCACGAAAAAAAATGCATTAAACCCCACGAAAATGATTTTATCCCCACCAATCGAAATGAATTAAGCCCCACCAAACGTGGGTGTTCTTACATGACAGAATCCCCACGAAAAAAAAGGAATTACTCCCCACGAAAATGACTTTAGCCCCACTTTACTTCATTTTTAATTTATTTTGCTTGCTTTAAACTTCAAGTTTTTAACAAAAATGCAATTATACATATGTATGTAATATTTAAAAAGAAAATGGTAAAGAATTAAATGAAAATGTGAGAAAAAGAAAATAATTAAATAAAAATATGTAAATATTCGTCAACATCGCTCTATTATTGAATGCAAAAAAACCCCAGCAGGAAATTCACTATCCCATGAAAAAATAGCTGTAAGAGATGGATTTTTATTATATGATTATTTACAAAATTATGGTTTCTCCTTTTACGAAATGTACACTATTAGTGATTTTAACCTTTCGTAAAAGGAAAAATCTTTGACAATTCAATCTTAATAGAGTGATTATTAAAAACAGTTCTGCGTATTCTGCATAAAAATGAATATAGAAAAATTGAAACAAATAGAGAATAATTGTATAAACGCAAGGAAGATCTTACTAAATAAAAGCGATACTATAAACTTTTCTCATGTTCCTGGATTTATAATTGATTCTTTTTTTGGAAAAAAAAATTATAAGGCGCAATTAATAATTTGTGTTTTTCTTTCGTTAATGGAATCAGCGAGTCGCAACTCTTTCCGTTCACAAAAACTCACTACAAAAAAATATCAGATTTACTGTTATGGCTTGAAAATTCTCCAAACGCTCACAAGTACTATAGCTATAATATTATACTTAATCAAATAGTTTTTTTTAACGGAGACTTACGAAAATATGGAGAAAGAAAGCAAAGAAATAAAATAAAATTTTAAAAGTATTATATTTTTACGTTGCTAACTGTTTGTTTTATTTTTATAAAATATCACGGAATTAAAATGAATTAAGCCCCACGAAAATGATTTTATCCCCACCAATCGAAATGAATTAAGCCCCACCAAACGTGGGTGTTCTTACATGACAGAATCCCCACGAAAAAAAAGAATTAATCCCCACGAAAATGACTTTAGCCCCACTTTCCGCCATTTTTAATTTTGTTGTAAAATTGGTGGGGCTTAAGTCTCTTTGCCCGGTGGGGGTTAATTCAGTGGGGGCTAATTCATACACCCGGGAATGAGCATGGTATGGCTAAAGTTTTGGGAAAATGTGAAATTATTACTTAGGATGAATGTACAATGCCCCACAAGCATTCACTTCAAGCTCTAAACAGGTCCCTGAAAGATATCAAAGCTAAGACTTAGATTTTTGATGGTGGCCTTCTGTCAGAATTCAGACTAACATTACTCTACGCGCGATTACCATAAACGTGATTGAATCGTATCAAAGTGTCACTAAATTATACCTCATATTAAGATGAGTGTTCAACTTCAAAATGATCCATTCGCCTCAGGATTCTTTGTTAGACATTGGCTTTGGTAAAATTCAATTGTTGAAGATACACAATATATTCAAATCACACAGAATTTTTTAATCTTGGCTCAACTATAATTTTGCTTAGGAATTTAGGGGTAAATTTTATAACGATACTAGAGTGGGAAAAAAAAATCATGGACAACATTCTTGAAAAGACCAATTGGTAAATAAGAAGGTAAAGGTATATTCGCCTATACCGTAGGTAGGTAAGTAGGTAGAGTGACTGTCTTCCAACACACCTAGGCCTTTAGGAAGCCCATTGTGATACCACCGGGACTAAGGTACCCTCACTCTATTAGCTCCTCTCTAAACCACTTCGTACTTCTGATGAAATTCATCAGTAAGACCAGTTTTATTTGTGCAACCTCCGCATGTGCGGCTTATATTCCATTCATACCACGTTTGCCTGCTTTTTGAAAAAGTCAGGGACTGATTCCACTGAGACTCGGCTACATTTATGACATGCTTGTCGATTAAGTATATACAAGTAGCCAGAAGCGTATATATGCCCCCTTTACCAGGATCTAGTTGTAGGGTGGTGCCTGTTCTGGCTAGTTCATCTGCTGCACAGTTCCTTGGGATATCACTGCGTTCTAGGACCCATTGGAGGTTTATTGTGAAATAGGTTTTCAGACCAGTTAGGATATCAAGGCATTATTTCACTGTCTGTTAACTCAGCTCTGTAGAATTTCGAAAGTCCGTGTTTATGGGAAGAAACTGAAACTTCCTAAGTATCATAGAATGCCTCTTATTACTGGCGAGTATTAGGGAGCATTCCCTTAGTCTCAGAACTGACTTCGCTGCCATTTGCTTACCAGATTGGTTTGTTGGCAGTAAGTGTAAAATTACGTTTAACGCCTAGCTTGAAGTTGTTCTGAGACCTGCACTGATGCAAATAAAGGCTGCTCTTTGTTTGCTTGCCATACTTCTAATCGCGTATTTCTTTTCTATTATTGGCCACCATACCAATATACCGTACGTCATAATCGGCCTTACAATTGCTATGTAGAGCCAGTGAGCTACCCGAGGCGTCAGTCCCCATCTTGGCCCCACCATTATTTTACACGCGTAAAGTGCTGTAGCTGCTTTCTTTACCCTAGCTTCTATGTTTGGTTTCCACGAAAGCTGACTCTCCAAAATTAGTCCTAAGTAGCTTGCTTTATCTCCCATCGTTAGTCTGGTGCCATTTAATAACGGCGGCGTGATTTCTGGAGTACTGTGTTTCTTAGTGAACAATACCAGTTCTGTCTTGCTAGCATTTAAGTTCAGTCCGCATGATACGGCCCATCGATTAATATCGTTTAATATTGTCTACATAAGGTAAGCGAGGGTATTCGGGAACTCGCTTCATCGTCTGCGAAACTGCCACATTTTCAGCGTAGGCCACAACATGTACCCCCTTCTTTTCCAGATCCACGAGTATTTTATTCATTGTCAGGATCCAGAGAAGTGGGGATAACACGCCTCCTTGGGGTGTACCCCTTCGGACAAGTCTGCACATCTTCGAAGCTCCCAGCGTTGAAATAATTGACCTGCCCAAGAGCATCTGTTCAATTAATTTCCAGAATGGCTTAGAGATGCCCAAATCTTTAAGCGCGCTAAGTATGGCCCTCCGCTCGATGTTATTGAAAGCACCTTCTATCTCTAAGAAGGCTACGAGGGTGTATTTTTTTACCTCCAGAGACTTTTCAACCTCTGTTACTACTGAGCTTAACGCCGTTTCAGTTTATTTATATAAGCCTTATGTGTATTTATATAAGCCTCTCCAGCGTTTTTAAGAGAAACAAGGGAAGATTAATAGGTCTAAAATCCTTTGAATTAGTGTGTGAGCTTTTGCCCTTTTGGTATATATTGTATATCACCTTAACTTTCCTCCATACCGAGGGAATATAGTTTAACTGCAGTGCCCCCTTAAGCATAGTTGTTAACCAGTTTATTATGTAGCTTTGGAACTGCTGTGACTGATCCGGGAGTAACCCGTCTGGTCCCGTCGATTTATGAGGCTTGAAGCTGAGTATCGCCTAATAAACATTACTATCTGATACTATGTCCAGGAGCGTCTAATTCTTCCCCCACTACGTGTAATTGGACAAGCCTCCTCTAGTGCTTGCCGACAAGAATTTGTGAACTGTTAAACTAGCACGTCCAGGTCCTCTTTATTCTCTTGTTGAAATGGCAGAATCATAGGAATACGCTTTTTTTGCTCCTGCAGGTGCATCTGCCAGTTCGTTTTCCCTATGGTTCCTGAATATCTCTACGCTATCTACATTCTCTTCAATTATACATTCAATGTAGTGGTGATCTGAGAAGAAGTGTTCCTCCAGTACTCTCCAGTGTGTCGTTTTGTCTCCAAGTTCTTCCGACAAAAGTGTTGTATCTAATACTTCATGTCCGGTGGTGTGCATACTGCCCTTGTTACACAACAAAAGCTTATTTCCTAGTAAATAATTAAAGAGTAACTCACCCCTTTCGTTCATGTTGCGGTGTGCGTTGGAGTTGCACCCAAGTAAAATCGAGCACTTGGATGCTTCGCTATCCCGTACCAGATCTTTAATCAGCTGCGATGGTACGATTGCTTCGTTATGACGCCAGCCGGTATTTATTTCCGCCAGTCTCCCAGCTTACTGCTGTTGTACCGTTATTACTATAATTATGTAATAACAAGTAAGGAAGAGCTAAGTTCGGATGTAACCGAACATTTTATACTCTCGCAAAGTTAAATGGTATATTCGTTTGAGACTTCTTTATACCTATATTTTAATAATTAGAAGTAGGAACTGTTGCCTTAGTTATTTACTTTTCACTCACATTAAAATAATATATAAATATAAATTATAATACCGTATGAATATAAATTAGTATTTTAAAAAACTCACCAAACATTTTCTCTGTTTTGTTACTGATGCTGGTGATAGTTTTGTTGCGATAGATATGTTTATTACGCTAGAAACAAATAAATTAATTAAATGCATATATATGAAATTACTCTAAATTTTCTCAACTTGCCTTCCATTGCCTTTTACGAACGCAAATGATTTGCATTCTTTTCCCGCTTTAGGTTTAAATAGGCAAAAACAGATATATCAATATTAAATATTTTTTAAAAAGCAATAAAATAAACACAGGTAAGGAAGGGCTAAGTTCGGATGTAACCGAATATTTTATACACTTGCAAAGTTATATGGTATATTCGTTTGAGACTTCTTTATATATTTTAATAATTAGAAGTAGGAACTGTTGCCTTAGTTATTTACTTTTCACTCATAGTGAAAATAATTAGAGCAATTTGTAAACTAAATTTACTCAAATTATGAGAAATCGTTCTTGTGCTTTTTGCATACGCTTATAATGGATTTTATATAGAATGCATTACAACTGTATTGAGAAGTATGAAAAGAAATCGTTTTTGAACAATGAATGACATTTTTTATTTATTATATCGATATTATTATACATGTTTAGCTTAAAAATAATAAATATTAACAACTTTAAAAATGTATATACTAATTTCATTCTAATTCAGCGTCAAACCACATAATTTTGAAATCT